TCGACCTGAAATTCCGTATCCCTTAATCTTACGAATGAGGCGGGCATGCCAGACACTATAAATCGCTTTAGAGATATCTAGAGCCACGGCACGAGCTTCTCCGTTATTGTGGAGTTTCTCGGTAAACAATTTCAGTTAGAACGGGCAAAGCGAAAACCATATTACTTATCAAAGAGCAGATCATGGGATATAAGGTGATTAACCACTTCGGCGTTGTTTAAGTCTCAAAGACTTTGCCGAAGAGTGGTAGGAGACTGATGGGACGGTAGTTAGATGGGTCAGAAGGGTTTCCAGAGTTCTTAAAGACAGGTACAAGAGCTGAGGACTTCCAATAGGCTGGGAAGCGAGGTTCATTGTAGCAGTAGTTATATAATTTGGAGAGGGCAGGAGCCAGTTCAGGAGCACACTTCTTCAGGACAATGGCTGGTCTCCCGTCGCCACAAGAATATTATGAAGTCTGGGGTTGGCAGTATGACTAGCGATATGTTTCCGTAGTAAACAATGGCGGCTTGTGGCTAAAATTAGTGGGGTGTCTCCTTCAGAAAATTTTCAGCCATTGTTTTAATAGTGTGTAAAACGAAACAAACACATAATGAGAAAATTTATACATAAACTTGATAAAATCCTAAAAGAAAAAATATTTTTTACTTAATTGTTACAGTTCAAGCTTAATACATTCATTTAAAAATTAAGTGCCTTTCTTCTTGTTTTATTTTGAGTGAAAAGGTTAATCATTTTCTTCGTAATCCCAGGATGACTGTTGAGGAAATTTTTCTCCATTGAAATCGCTGCAAGTTCATTTAGTCTTTCAGGATTTATAGTGCTCCTTAGAAATTTTTTTATTCTTTTCAGTGTTGAAAAGCAGCGTTCTGGCCCTGATGTAGTCATGGGAATTGTTAAGAAAAATTTTATCAGTTTTGTAATTTCATTAAAAAAACATCTTGATTATTTTTCAAGATAAATTTCAGCAGCTCAATTAATTTGTAATATTCATGCATATCAGATCTACAATAGAATACTTTTTTCAGTTCAGATTCAGGCTTTTCTTTGTCAATCATGGGATATACTTTAGTGGTCAATACTATCTCGTCTGTAGGCAATTCATTCTTAAAACTAGTGAAGCTTTTCTTGTTGAACAATTTAGCAGCTACTAAGTGTTTAGTGAAAGAATATCTGTCGATTATATCAACCTGTCTTTGAAGGATTCTCATAGTACTTTGAGTTATTTCTAAAATAGCAGTTTTGAAATGTTATATATTCATTGACTTGAAACATAATAATTTCTCGAGATTGCATTTGGCTGTAAATTATATCAACATGAGGCATAACCTGACGAAGGATATGCATATACAACAAAAATAACGCAACAAAATAACGCAACAACCTCTACATTAGGGCACCTTGGCGTTATGTAATAAATACTGTGTTAGTCTAATTAACCACTACAGTGACTTCTGTCTTCACTGGGTTCCACATACGTGTGACCTTGTGCCAAAACTAAACTAGTCTTAACTACAAGTTTTTATTTACTTTCTACATTAAGAATAAAGTATTTCCATTTTGTTGTAATTTTCCAGAAAAATATTTATTCATTATTTTATATATATATATATATATATATATATATATATATATATATATATATATAAATAAAGGGCTATTATGTCGTCTATAATATAAAATAAGTTACTACTCCCAACAAAACTTGTGTTGATAAGTTTATTTGTAATTACAGCCTAAGATAAGGGAGTACGCTCGCCGTTATTAAACGAAAGGATTGGGGATTTACCCTATCCACTACTGATAGACCAAGCATTTCTAGGTTGAGAACAAGCAACTGTCAATACAGTTGAAAGTTTTAAAAAAAAAGTGGGCACATGGAAGTCATGTGATGAAATGTCTGGAAACAATGGTTATATATTAACTGAGATACATGTATATTGTCAGGTATGTGGTATGGTGACAAACTACTTTTTATGATTGTACTGTAATTGGTGTACGTAGGTCGTTGTCTAATTATAGTGTATGACTATGTTAATACTTCGTTATTGTTGTCATTATTACTATTGTATGTATATTATAGTGGGTCAGCCAATTTGTATTGGTTATAAATAGAAATAAAAACTGACCCTCTACAATTTTTACAATATCAAATCTAACAAAGACAACAACAAGAGAAATAATCAAGTAGAAGAAAATGTGAATTTTTTTCAACAATAAATCTTTTTTATAAACACAACAAATACATAATATATAGTGCAAAAGTTGATAAACACAATAGAGTTCTTTGGTGTGTGTGTTACTGAAAGAATTTGAGCTACTGTACTGTATGTGTGAAAATGACAAGGTTTAGTTAGCTATATTTGTTTTTATAGGAAAATTAAACATGTTTTTTGTGTATTAAATAGAAAAATAAGTATTGTTCTTGACTCACTGATTGTTATCGCTCATTAAGCAGAGATTCTTGTGGAATGGAATATTTTGTGGGAGTGAGCGTTAAGCCTGGAGATGGTTGACAAAGTTTGTTGTTGTATTGAAGATAAAGTTCGTCTCCTTTGCTGTGTTGATTTCCAATGAAGTCAAGTGAATTGGTTTCAATATTTTAAGTGCCCACTGACCAAGTCGCGTCGAAGTTTCGTTTTTATTAGTTCTCTTGGTCACGTGGGGAGGCTCGTAAACATGTTTACATTTTATGGCGTCAACTAGAGGTCAAAATTTGGGTCGGTACCTTCGGACGTAGTTGACGACACCTAATTAATATTTTACAACCAATCAAAATACATCAGTTGTTATATTTGGCTGGGAGACTCTATGTGTTTAACTTGCACAAAATTTAAGATTTAAAAAAATGTAGGAATCTGATTCTACAATACCCCCCCCGCAGATTGTGAAAGTTTTTGAGAGAAAATTTTCTCAATATGTAATATACGTTTTAAATTTACTAGGCCAATGAACATGTCTGCCAGATTTAGTAGTAACTTCCGCGGCTGGGTCGAAGATGTTAGCTCAGGGTCAGGAAGCGATTTATGAGATAAATCGATGTAAGCCGGTTTCAACCGGTCGACTGACACTGTGTTAGGCTTTCCGTGCAAAAGTAAAGTAAAATGCTTGGACGTTCTATTAATTACTTTATGTGGACCAGAATACGTGGGGGTTAAGGGTCTTCTAACTGCATCTTTTCGCAGGAAGACGTAATCACAACTGTCTAAATTTTTCGGCATAAATGACTCCCTTGTTTGGGCACGCGTTGGAGTAAAAGCTAGGTTTTCCATTTTTGTTTAAAATCCTGGACGAAATAGGTAGTCGGTCTGGAAGGAGTATGCTTTTCCACGAACTGTCCAGGGAGTGTTAGCGTACTCCCAAAACTAGTTCTGCTGTAGTGCATCCTAAGTCCTCTTTGACTACATTTCTTAATGACAGTAAAATCAGTGGTAGGTTTTCCAGTCAAGTCCTGGAGTCATCACTTGCTGCTAGTGCTGCCTTAAGTTGCCTATGAAATCGTTACACAAGGCCGTTTGCACATGGATGGTAGGCGGTTGTAGAAATGTGCTTTACGCCTAACAAGGTTATAAATTCATTGAAAAGGACTGACTGGAACTGGGAACCTCTATCAGTGGTTATTATTGAAGGACAACCAAAGATAGAGATCCACTCTCTAAGAATGCACCTGGAAATCGTTTCCGCTGAAATACTTTTTAAAGGAACGGCTACAGGCCAACGAGTGAAACGATCGATTATTGTTAATAAGTATTGGTACCCATCAATGTCGGGCAAAGGGCCCACTAAGTCAACGTGAATGTGGGTGAACCTACCATCAGGCTTAGAGAATGTACCTGGCGGAGACTTGGTATGCTGTTGTATTTTAGTTTGCTGGCATTTTAAACAAGTCTGTGTCCAGTGTCTTATGTCACTGGACATTTTTGGCCAAACGAAACGATCACTAATCATCTTAGTAGTCGCTCTTCGACCAGGGTGCGACAGAGAATGAAAATGTTCGAATACTTTTTTTCGCAAAGAAGGTGGTACATAGGGCCTAGAGTATCCTGTGCTTACATCACAATAAACAGTAGTGTTACCAAATGACACAGGGTGTTGCTTTAACTGTAGTGACGTTTTTTCTTTTACTGATTCCAAAGTAGTGTCAGTCTTTTGTTCTTCTGCTAAGGAGTCGAAATTCAAGGTCTGTGCGTCAATTGACTGTATCGTTGATCGCGATAGGGTATCAGCTACTATATTGTCAGCCCCTTTTACATAGCGGATATCCGACGTATATTGGGAAATATAATCCAATTGTCGGATATCGCTTGGGGTATATTTGTCCGACTTGGAGTGCAGAGCATAAATTAATGGTTTATGATCTGTATAGACCACAAAATTCCGTCCTTCCAAAAGATGACGGAAATGACGGATTGCCAAGTATATTGCCAGTAATTCCCTTGAAAATGCGCTGTACTTTTTCTGAGATGAGTTTAGCTTGACTGAAAAGAACGAAATAGGTTTTTTAGCATCTCCCTGTTCCTGGTGAAGCACAGCCCCTATGGAGTCGCCTGATGCGTCTGTTGTCAGTGTGATCATTGAGTCATCATCGGTTATATATGATAACTTCGTAAAGTTGGCAAGGGCGTCTTTGGCTCTGTAAAAAGCAGTCAGTGATTCGCCTTCCAAGGTAATCTTTGAGTTCTTCTGACGCTGTTGTTGCAGTAAATCTGTGAGGGGAATCAGAATCTGGGAACAACCAGAAATGAACCTCCGGTAGTAATTAATGAGGCCTAAGAATCGGCGTAACTGCCGGAGTGAAGTTGGTTGTGAGAAATTTGAAATAGATTCTATTTTATCAGGTAAGGGCGTTATTCCCTTTTCGTCAATGACGTGTCCCAAAAATTTAAGCGAGGTCACAGCAAAAGTACATTCCTCTGCGTTAATCTTAAGGCCAAAATGCTGTAGACGTTGGAAAACTTGTTCAATGTGGTGACGATGTTCAGTCTTGTTTCTACTGGCGATCAGGACGTCATCAATATAGGCAAAGGCGAAAGGTAAACCTCGTCTATAAGCCGTTGGAAAGATTGTGCGGCGTTCCTTAAACCAAATGGCATTCTCACAAATTCGTATAAGCCAAAAGGAGTAGTTATTGCTGTTTTATGGATGTCTTCCTTGGCCACTGGTATCTGGTGGAATGCTTTCACCAGATCAAGTTTGGTGAAGACTGTGGCGCCCTGCAGACCCACGGCGAAATCGTGCAAGTGCGGGATGGGGTATTTATCCGGAATTGTAGTAGCATTCAGCTTCCGGAAGTCGCCACAAGGTCTCCAAGCTCCTGAGTCCGGTTTTGGAACCATATAAAGAGGAGATGAGTAAGGACTCGAAGAAGGTCTAATTATACCGAGGTCCAGCATGTGCTGAAACTCGTCTTTCGCCAGTTTATATTTATCAGGCCTCAATCGCCGTGGAGATGAATGCGTGGGTGGGCCCGTAGTATCAATGTGGTGTTCAGCATTGTGACGAACGGTTTCTGTATACCGGAATGGTGTTGTAATTTGAGAATATTTTTGTAACAGATCCTGCATTCCGTTGGCTTCAGGTAGAGTTGCGCTGATACATGTGCTCGTATGAATAGATGTAATTCCTTTCCTTGTAATGTTGGTCGTTTTATCCTCCAAAGAAAGGAAAGACATATTAACGGACAAGTTAAAGTGGGCGAGGAAATCCGCTCCTAGGATTGGGGTTCGAACTTGGGCTATCGTGAATACCCACGGAAAAGATCGCCTAAATCCCAGATTAGGGTTAAAGAGGTTTCACCATATTGTGGCACCTTGCATTATTAGAAATATTCATAGAAATATGATTTAATTTTTTCTTACTCGGTTTACTAAACAGGTTGTTGATTTTTTTTTAAAACGGAAAATAATTGAGTTGAAAATAATTCACTAAGATTGTACTTAGACGATCCTAAGGGAAGAAGAAGGAAGGGAAAAAGAGAGGTCGAGAAATACAAAAAAAACGGTCATTAACAAAAACACGAGTCAGAAAGATATCTTAGCTAGCATGTTGACCGAAATTTTTAAAGACAATTGGAAGAATAGAATTAGAAATAATAAGAAGAAAGAAAGGGAAAAAGACATGATATCAAAACGGGCCGCTTGATGGAAGCCAGATATCGGTCAAAGCACCTAGCCTACTTTTTTGCATGGAAAGACACCTTATCAATTTGGATAAAGAGAAATTTTGGGAACAATGAAACAATCTTAATCAGAGAAAAAGTGTCTTTTGGGTTGAGGGGAGTGACCGGTGGAACGGTATACAGGCTCTGACCTGTTAAAAATTAGAACCCCCACAATAATAAAGTGGAGACATTTTCAATGTAGATAATTAAGATTTTTTTGACTATCAGGAAAAACAAAGAGTAAAAAGAGGGACAATTGCTTTTGGCTCACAGAGGGCGCCAAGAAGGCGGAAAAGATCCTTTCTGAAGTCAAGTCTAATTAGCGGCGGGCTGTTTGACAAAGTCCAGGTGAGAGAAGGCCAAGATGGTCATTTTTCGTACGTGCGAAAAAAAAAAAGGAAAAATTAGATTTTGTTTTTTAGAACAAGAACGATATAAGCCCGCCCCCGATTGATTGCAGGAAACGCCCAATCAGGATCTCATTAGCCGAAAACGGTCACGTGGCTGCAGAAAAGAAAAGAAAGAAATGCTCAACCGAATCCCATTAGCCGAAAACGGTCACGTGGCTGCGGAAAAGAAAAAGAAAGAAATGCTCGATCAGAATCTCATTAGTCGAAAGCGGTCACCTGACATACGAGAGACCGAGAGAGATGGATATGCGCCTCCCCACCAAAAAAGCACTATGAGGAAGTAGGGGTGAAAACAATAGCGATAATGGGGAAACAGAATTAATGCGGCTATTGGAATTATTGAGAAAACCCTGACGCCGACAGACCCACCCCAGTTTGTTGCGGCGTCAATAAAAGCAGGACCCCAGTCGACAGAAATCAGTTGGAGTTGGAGTGGAGTTGCAGCTGGACCGCGGGCAGGGAAAGAGCCTGAACGCGGGCATCGGGCCCGACTCACTCGCCCCTTTGCGGGCAAAAGAATCCTCGAAACAAGAAATCCTTCCAGCCCAAGTCGAAGACAGAAGTTCAGCCCCGGACGGCAGCGAGAAGAGATCACCTCCACGACAGAGAATTGCGGCTGAGTTGCGGCAAGAGATCCTTCCAGCCCAAGTCGAAGACAGAAGAGTTCAGCCCCGGACGGCAGCGAGAAGAGATCACCTCCACGACAGAGAGTTGCGGCTGAGTTGCGGCAAGAGATCCTTCCAGCCCAAGTCGAAGACAAGAGAACTTCCAGCCTAAGTCGACGAAGAAGAAGAAATACAACCCAAGTCGAAGACAAGAGAACTTCCAGCCTAAGTCGACGAAGAAGAAGAAATACAACTCAAGTCGGAGAGAAGAATCAACTGCGAATGATCGATAGAAATTAGCCCCAGTGTCGAACCAAACCACACTCCGACATACACAATTCTAAAGAGTAGGCAATTCGAAATCTTTAGGTTGTGTGATAGAAGCTTGTGCCATAGTCCACAGAGCGGGTCGGGAAATGAGAACAATTTTGTTTTTTATGTAGCGGACATTAAGATATAAAGGGTTGTTACCCATTTTTTTTCATCAGCAATCTTTTTGTCTCGTGAGTTTATTTTCTCTTTTATTTGTGTTTTGCCACCCCCCGTCGGACTCAACTTGTATCGGCCCCAATCCCTGCTGGTCCCGTCTGTCTAAGATCTAAACACAGCGTGGGTAGACAGACCGGAGATCGGTACAGTTGCTTTAGTGACCAGGTATTGGAAGCGAGTCGGGAAAGGCGAGGCTGGTGATCATCTGACCAAGGGGTTGGAGCGGCACGCTTGGACCCAGGAGGAGCGACCAGGAGGAGCGACGTCACCGTTGGCGCCGTAACCAAAGGATCCGACCCTGGGCCAGGTGTGTAACCGTCACAATATGTCTGAATTGAAGATCCATTCGCCACTTGTAACGTATAATCTGTCTTTCTAGTCAACATATTAGGCTTGGCTGGTATTACACTAATTTGTGCCCCAGTGTCCACTAAAAACAAGTATCCGGAGTTCTCATCTCGGATGTAAAAGAGACGACTTTTTGGCATCCCTCCTGCTGCAAACGTCTCTACTTGTTGCCGGGATAGTCGTTTCCCGACTGCTGGGTGTTGTTATCCTTAGCTGCGTTTATGTCGAAGTTACACGGTTTCGTACAATGCCGCGCTTGTTTTCCATATTTAAAATGATACCAACAGGTATTAAATATAGGCCTGCTTCTGGATGTGGAACGTGATCTTCGCCTAGTATGATGTGATGGACGTGGTCGACTAGTGAAATTGTTGGGTGTGCGATTTTGCTGATGCATAGCGGTTTGTAGAGCTTGTAACTGTGAGGTAAGCTCGGCTATACAATCTTTAATGTTCGATAACTCTTGTGAGTCACGGACTGAAGAGACAATAGGTTGTAGTGGTGTCGCAGAAGCAGTTCCCGGAGGTTTATTCTCATATATTTTGTCCGCGATTTCTGCCAGTCGCTGTAGGTCCAAATCGTCCGGAAGTGACACTAATATTTGTGATGTTTGTGGGCTCAGTTTATCCATCCATAGTTTACGGAGGACTGTGTCAGACATGGTATTGTCACCTAGTAAAGCTTTCATCTTTCTAAGCAATTGGGAAGGTTTATAGTGTCCCAAATGAAGGTTGTTAAACAAATCGTGCAACCGACGTTCCTCTGATTCGCCCGTGCGGTATATTATAGCATCTTTCAAAGTATCATACGGTTTCTCCGCCGGCACTTCACTGAGGAGGTCTGCTACCTCTAATGCTACATCTGAGGGAAGTTTCTCAACTACAAAAGCGTAACGGGCATGTTGAGACGTGACCTTTCTTGCATTAAAATTGCGTTTAACTGCGCAAACCACACTTGAACGTTGATGTGGTTGTACGTCGGTAGACTGATGGAAATTGCCGCTTCAATATGTTCGCTGGTAGAATTTTCCATTGTTTTCGTTTAAAACGTGACAACTAAAGTATTTCTCTTATACAATGCTGTTTTTAAAATATTGCTTTGCACATTTAAACTTCGGGGTCACCAATTTATAGTGGGTCAGCCAATTTGTATTGGTTATAAATAGAAATAAAAACTGACCCTCTACAATTTTTACAATATCAAATGTAACAAAGACAACAACAAGAGAAATAATCAAGTAGAAGAAAATGTGAATTTTGTTCAACAATAAATCTTTTTTATAAACACAACAAATACATAATATATAGTGCAAAAGTTGATAAACACAATAGAGTTCTTTGGTGTGTGTGTTACTGAAAGAATTTGAGCTACTGTACTGTATGTGTGAAAATGACAAGGTTTAGTTAGCTATATTTGTTTTTATAGGAAAATTAAACAGATGTTTTTTGTGTATTAAATAGAAAAATAAGTATTGTTCTTGACTCACTGATTGTTATCGCTCATTAAGCAGAGATTCTTGTGGAATGGAATATTTTGTGGGAGTGATCGTTAAGCCTGGAGATGGTTGACAAAGTTTGTTGTTGTATTGAAGATAAAGTTCGTCTCCTTTGCTGTGTTGATTTCCAATGAAGTCAAGTGAATTGGTTTCAATATTTTTAAGTGCCCACTGACCAAGTCGCGTCGAAGTTTCTTTTTTTATTAGTTCTCTTGGTCACGTGGGAGGCTCGTAAACATGTTTACATTTTATGGCGTCAACTAGAGGTCAAAATTTGGGTCGGTACCTTCGGACGTTGTTGACGACACCTAATTAATATTTTACAACCAATCAAAATACATCAGTTGTTATATTTGGCTGGGAGACTCTATGTGTTTAACTTGCACAAAATTTAAGATTTAAAAAAATCTGATTCTACAATATATATATATATTACTATTGTGTATATATATATATATATATATATATATATATATATATATATATTATTACTATATGGATATATGTGTATGTATGTGTCTTTCGTGCGTGCATGCATGTATGGATATATATATATAGATGTATTTAGATATATTTGGATATATGTGTGTATGGATATATATGGATATATGTATATATCTGTATGTGTGTATATATATATATATATACGTATGTGTATATGTATGTGTATGTGTGTAAATATATTTTTTTATTATAAATATGTCATGGAGTAGGTATATGTTTGTAATATAGATGTATGTATATATATATAGATAGGTGTAGGTGTTTGTTTAAAATACTATTCGGTGTGTTTGACAATATGATAACGTGTTTACATTTTGACATATATGATATTACCTGATATTCATGGGTACCTGTATTTGTGTGAAAACATATATGGTGTATATATATATATATATATATATATATATATATATATATATATATATAGGTTATAGCTGTTCCAACGAGAGAAAAGTGCATATTTTAAAAAGAAGAGAGAAACCGCAAACCGCATTATGGAAAATAAAGCATAATATATATATATATATATATATATATATATATCAAATACACACTACAACCAAAAACGTTTGCTTTTTCTCTCTTCTTTTTAATATATATATATATATATATATATATATATGTATGTATATATGAATATGTGCATAAATTTATAAATTTT